TATTAATCTCAATGCTGGAAAAGCAGACAAAGTCACTATCTGCTTATGAGGACAAAGCTAAAACTACCTCTTTTTATTCAACAGCAGTTTTCCTGTTCTCAAACAAGAACAAGCTGCACTTGACAGAAATTTCACTTGTGACATTGAGTTCTCTCCATCTTCTGGTGAAAAACTAAACTAAGCAACCTCCTATTATTCAATAAACATCTAGAACAAAACGTAACTTTTCCAGACACAAGCCAAGGTCGGCTAGAGCGCTTCAATTCGTCGATAGATTTAAAACCTTTTCAACAGCGCAGAGCAATTAATTTCCCCATCTTCCACGTTTCAGCCTTGCCGTTCTGTATTTTAGCTGACTAAAACCCTGAATCTGCGTTGCTTTATGTCTCCAAAACCTTTAAAAGCCACTAATGAAACAGACTTTCTGGGGACGCTGATGCTACTTCAAAGCAACAGACAATCCTGTCAGGGAAGCATTATGAACCCATTCATGTGTCACGCTGTCTTCTTTTGCTTTCAGTGCCGTTTTTCTTAAAAGCAGCTTTGCCTTTAGGTCTGCATGAACTCGTTGCTTCTCAGAGGATGAGCAGAAAGAAAAATCTGTTCTAGGCGAGTCGTGTTTCTGTTTACTAAGAATAAGCTTAGAAATACCACAAAGGGGGAAGTAAAAACACAATAAATCTACAAGATAAAAACGCGACGCTTGGGGGCATTACTTTTTTTCCCAGACACATGATAGCGGCTCCTAACCTGAACCGTTTCTGCAGGCCTTCTTTATGGAAAGGAAAACTGCAGTGTTGTGTCTATATGTTCAGTAAAAAGCTGCAACATCGTGACTTTTAAATGAAGGATACAGACTGATAACACAGAGTAGGACTATCTGCATGTCAGTGCAGCTTTAATGAATGTTGTGTCATCACAGACGCACGTCTAACCATGAATTATGCTGAATTATCACAGCACAAAATAATCAAACCCCTTCAGGAGAAAAGCAAAAACATTTGAAACCTGATAACAGGGATTTAATACATTTTCCAGCAGTAATGTTCCCCCTCTCCCCCCCCCATCACCGATTAGACTGCAAATATGATCTGCACCGGATCACAGGGCAACCGAAACAAAGTTCAATTGACTTTTTCAGGAAAATATCTGACCATCAACAGCCTTCTACCTTCATATTCTGTCCATATTGTGTAGTGTGTCAGTCTCTCTACTGGTAAACCAACCCCACATCATGATGCTGCCATCACCATGTCTGACAGATAAGCCCAATCTTGGTTTCTCCAAATATATTTGTGGTCAAACAGTTCAAACATTGTCTCAATTAACCAGATTTGGCTTGTCCATGCAAGCACCTGCAGTTCTGGAGCAGATCCTTATTCCTTGGTAGAAAAGGACAATTCAAGGAAACTGAAAGGTTAAAGAGACAGTCAGAATCATGCAACTGTGGAAAACCATTTCTCTAAACGACGTTAATCGAGGTGAGATGATGGCTTATGTGCAAATTTGAACCTGAATACAGATCTGGCCATGTCTGATTTAAAGAACAAAACAACATACATCAAACTTGACCGCTAAACTCTCATGTACAAATCATCAATTAAACCGTCTAATGTATGAGGATTTAAAAATAAAATGAGAATGACTTAAACAGATCATTAACAACCCAAAATCTGCATGACATTCATTCTCACAAGGAGCTCAAGTCCATTTTTTCACCAGAGCTGCATACGTATCCAGCTAACTGGATTTTTTCCACTAGCCAGACTGAAGACATTTTGGCTTTTGACAGCAGGAAGGACAAGCACAGGTGTAACTAATAATATTAATGAAGGGTTTCAGCGGGCCACAGCAGAAATCTGGAAGTGAGAACACCTACGCAGAGTTTAAAAAATGTTAATGTCTCCTAAGAAATGGAAGATTTGAAGCAGGATAGGATGGAGTTAGTAGCGTCTTCAATGAAAAATTATTACAGGACAGAAAGAGACCAATACAGTAAATATTTATATCAACATTTTCTGAGCTTAAATGATAGAGGTGAATGAGAATATGTTATTATTGGAATATTTTAAACAAGTGAAGTTTCTCATAATAAAATTTAGACTGTTGTTGCTAAACGTGACCATGAGGAAGCAGGAATCATTCAGGCAAAGCATGGGAGTCAATCCTCAGAGAAAAAGATCAATATTTCTGTCCACGATGGACTGCATGCTGCTCTGTGTGGCACATCTAAATTCACACTCTGGTCCATTATATTCTTAAAGCCAGAGAAGTTCAAATTACAAACATTGCAACTTACTGCACAGGGCACAAAAAAGTATTCATGCTTCTTGAAGGTAACCTGACTTTATTAGGTTACTATAACTCAATTCCATCCATTTTAGTGGTGTTTTATGGAATAAACCAAGAAAAATAGCTACGAGGGCTTCATCCAATTTTCTTTCCTTTGAACCATAAATAAATTACAGAGAAACTAAATAATCATAGTTATAAATACATTTATAACTCATGTAATTAGAGCTCATATGACTTAATTCTAGTTCTGTGAAGGCCTCACAGGTTTGTTAGTGAACAATAATGAGCAAACAGCATTATAAAGGAAAGAAAACAGAGCAGGCAGGTCAAGTTAGAAAGGCGTGAAGAAGTTTAAATCAGAGAGAAGCTTTGCTCTTGTCAGATGAGACCAAAATGGTTTTTTGTTTTGTTTTGTTTTTATTTCTGGGCTTAATACAAAGAGCTATGCATCGCAGAAAATGTAAACATATTACATAATTCACAATGTAAAACACGGTGGCGGTAGCTTCATGCAGGGGGGATCCTTTCTTCGGGAGAAACAGGTAGGTAAGAAAACCTGGTATAAACTCCAAAACCATCCAGGAAAAGGAATCCAAATGCAAAGCCAAGAGAACCTGTGACTCTCCAGCAAAGCTGACTGTTGTGCAAAGTAAAGAAAAAAAAAATTTTCTAACCTCTAGACGTACAAAACTTTCTGAAACATACCCAAAGAATTGCAGTTGTAAGTGAAAGATTCTGAAAGTGTTGCTCCAGAAGGGATTAAAAGAAATGCACACCACCATTTATCATTTTTCTTTCACTTCACAATTATGCACAAATCTCAGTTTGTAAATTGAAAAAATAAAATAAATGTAGTGTTTTTAAGTTAGCGTTTGTAACACGACAAAATGTCACAGCATAAATAATTTCCCAACTTACATAAAACTCTCACACTGAGTTTTCAATGTGCGAGTCTACTTTAATAAAATAACAGAAAGTTCATTCCAATTAGTCCAATTACAGTAGCTTAAATAACATATTGCTGCAATGTGTTTCTAGCAAAAGAAACATTAATACACAAAGGGAACTTTCTTGATTAAAAAAAAAAAATCCAAACACGAGTTGTGTTTAATTCAGTCAAGTTTCTCACACACCCACATTCCGCACAAACAAGATAGTTTAAAGGAAATAATTTTACATAAAGAATACAAGTTCAAATTCAAAAAACATTTCATTTAACCCAAAGGGAAATTAAATAATGTCTCTCAATCCAAAAACAAACAAACATGAAAAACAGTCTACAAAAAGAACAAATCAGAACAAAGTTACTTCGACATGCAGCAACCAGGAACTGCACAGTTCTAGAACAGCATCTTACACAAACTATTAACTATACAGAATTATACAGGATTCAAACAACCAATCCCTAGCATAGTCTGTATGACATATGGTTCATTTTTGACTTTCTTACTTCCAAGCATGTCTATAGATAGAGTGCACTTTGAATGGCTCAATAATAAAATGTAAAGATACTTCTACAAATAAGAAATAATAACAAAAACTCTCTACTGAGGATTTAGTTGTTAACTAGTTTGAGGAAATGATCCTCGTGCCAGCCATCAACTGACCTTGCAGCGAGCAAACAACTCTGACCTAACAGCGCAGACCAAGATAACCGTTGAACGAATTCGCTCTTTACTCAGACTCTGTAGTATAATAACACCTGGCCTGGCTCTGTGCTAAATAGATATTCTCTGTGCTGGAAAAAAATATTTCCAGACGGTTTGAGCTGCATTTGCTTATTTTGTTTCCACCATGCAAATGATGTGAGGTGACCACTATCAGGTGATATCCAGACATTTGGCTGCTACGTGACTGATGGGTGTGAAAAAAGGTTTGCAACACACCGGGCCAATTTGCAATAACAAAAAGTACATTTCCATAACAAGATAAGCCATTACAGAAAAATTGTGAATATTCAATTAAAGTGGCTGGAAAACTTGTCACATTACAACCGCAGGAGTGCAAAACTCAATCTGTTCTAATGGGATTTCAATGTGACTGACACAAAGCAGTTCATAATTAAGAAAGGGAAAGAAAAAGACGGTCTTTATAAACTAACAAAACACAAGCTAATGAGTAATTTAATTATGGCAAATAAGGAATAATTTATAACTTGCAAAAACAATTGCAGAATTGACAGAATACTATAACTCTCTTTTTATTTCCTTTGTAGTGTCAGTAAAGTCAGCTGAAGAGCCTATTTCACCATTATGCATGTTATGTCAGTTACGGCATACTGGAGGGTTAAATGGGTAGGTATGGGGAATGTGGGGTTATGGTCAAGTATGAGTTATTGTAGAAAGGATAAATGTTTAAAGCTGCAGCCTGGACATACAATAAATAGGCAGCAGACCGCATCCCTGTGCGCTACACCGGCTGGTTGACGTGTGCTTCTACTGAAATCAGAGCGAAACATTCCTGCAGCTGCTACAGAAACCCTCTTCATAACCCCCCCTTTGACTCAAACCAGTAACATAACCAGCACCTCCAGTAGAAAGACGTCAAAACGGCATTATATTACCCTCCTGAAGATAAAAGGAGGTGTTCATACACAAACCTCCTCAAGACCAGAGCTAGCCAGTGTTAGCCAGCAGTGGTCACAACAAAATGTATTTACTCTGTCCTGCGATACAAGACCAACATTAGCTTCAAAGGCTACTCACCTCCAGCAGAAAGTGCGTCCTGGAAATGGAGGCTAATTCCTCCCCCGAGCGGACGGAGAGCTAGTGAGAAGTGTGACAGTGTTAAATCTGAGCGGCTACGGTCCCCGGCCAGCCTGGCGGTGCTGCTGCGTTTCCATCTCACAGCTCCATTAAAAGCTGCATTGTTGGAGCGACGGCTGCACAAACATCACTGACTGCACGCAGTGAGGCATTCTGGGAAACGAGGTAGAGCAGTGCCATTAAACGCTGCTGTAGAAAGGTGGAGAAACTGCGCCCCCTGGTGTTCGCTCTGGACGCGGTCCACTTTTATGGCGCATTGTAGACCAGGAGTCTGCAATCTGCGCCTTCTGGGCTTCCATAATAACTTTAGCTCCACAGTAATGAACTGTGGAATGTTTAAAATAAAAAGCTAGTCCAGTGCAGATGGTATCAGACAGAAGAAGTTTGGCTAAAATAGCATCAGTTTTGGACAGTGTCTCTATAATATGCAGATGTTGTTGAACTGACAGACTGCTGCATCCCAGGTGCACAAACGAGCGTTTTTATATGTCCTTTCTCCTAGCAGCTGTTAAACTCTATGACCTTCATTTCTCCTAACTTAATTTAGTAACTGTTATTGCTGACAATGGTTAGTATATTATTTGTTATGCTGTAATAAGGATGTGTTGTGGATGTGGAGAAGGTATTTTGTGGGGGCTGCTGGGGGAGTATGGAGTATCTGGGCAGCTTTTAAAGGCTATCCGATCCTTGTATGTCCCAAGCAAGAGCTGTGCCCACATTCTCAGTGTAAAGTTGATCTTGCTCCCAGTGTGCGTTGGACTCTGCCATGACTGCCCCCTTGTAACCGATCATGTTTGTGGTGTTCATTGACAAGATCCTAAGGCATAGGAAAGTCGGGGAGGGGTGACTGGTTTGGCAACCTCAGGATCTCATATTTGCTGTTTGCTGATGATGTGTTCTGGTGGCTTCTTGAGGTCAGGACCTTTTGCATACACCGGAGTGGTTTTCAGTTGAGTCAGCTCCTCTAAGTCTGAGGCCATGATTCTTGACTTGAAAAAGGTGGTCTGCTCCCTCTAGACTCAGGGTCAACCTTTACCCGAGTTTAATCTTGGTGTATTTATTAGTGATGGTAGGAAGGAACAGTAGATGGACAGATGGATTGAGGTTTTGTCTGCAGTAATGCAGGCTCTGCTCCAGTCTGTTGTGGAGAAAGAGCTGAGCCAAAACGTAAAGCTCTTACTTTAGAGCTTAGCCTAGATTCAGACCCTCCCTTATGTTCTTATGATATGAATCATGACTGGAAGAAGCCCAGATACACGTGGATGAAATAGATTTCCTCTATAGGGCGGCGTGGTGGCTTATGGAGGAAGTCTTAGCTCTAAGTAGTCTTAGAGGTAAGGAGCTCTGTCATATTGGGAGAGCTCAAAGTGGAGTCGCTGCTCCTTGCCACCAAAAAGGAGACAGCTGAAGTGGTGGAATAACAATAAGAAAATATTTTTTTAATCAATAAATGAACAAAACTAAATGAATTATACTTATGATACATTATTATTATTAGCCTGTTGGTTCATTTTAGAATTTTGGCGTGAGCTTCAGTCCTCCCGTCCTGTTGGTGGCAGTAATGAGTTATCTAAAGCTCAGACGTACCAATCCAGTCGTAGCAGAAACAGTCTCAATGTGGAGAGCATGGAGGGTAAACACATGTCTGCTTTTTCTTTGTATCAGTCTCTGCAGTCAGAGTTGCCCCCTCCGCTTAAGAAGCCCTGCCAGCGGGTAAAGGTGTGTGTACAGGCTTCATTAATACCCGACGGGAATATCTATATATGCATGGCTTATTTACTGTACGAACACATAACTGATGTTCGTGTTTCTTCGCATCGTCATTGTGTGGCACTTTAAATTAGCCTCCTTTTTTTTTTTTTTTTTAAATCTAATTAGGTGGAAGTAAAGAAGAAAAAGAAAAAAGTAAATGGGTCTGCAGCTGCTATTGTCAACCAAGAACGGGCCAAGAGGAGGAAGATCCGCAAAAAACTCGAGAAGGCAGCAAATAAACAGGAGAGTAAGAAAAATGGACCAGATAATACTGTAAGCATCTGCTCAGGGTTTGCCGTAAATCATTGTTGTTGAGTCAGTTGTGCGAACCAGATTGAGCCTTTGTGTTTGTTAAAGCAGCAGAAGGAGAGTGTAACTGCAGAGTCTTTGGATGCTTTGCTCACTGAACTGACCAGAGTTAACAACAGCAAAGAAAGAGCCAACAACTTATTCCAGTGGCTCCTCAATCCCGTTCCTGCCAAGTACTTCTTCAGGTAAAGTGTCTATATGATGCTACATGATTTGTAAGATGCTCTGCATTTAATTGAACCCCCCACAGCCACCACAATGTGTCACTACACAGTTGGTACGTCCAGAATGATTTGCTGCATTAGTTTTCTACCTCTCCCCTATATTCATCAGGTTTTGCAAGTTGGCGAAACAGTCAAACTTAATCTAATTAGCTTTACCCACTACAGAGCTGTAATCAGAATGTCTATGTGTTCCTCTCTCGTTACCCTTTCGTAGAACCAGCGCATTGAAGTGACTACTGCATAATCTGCTGGCAGATTCTTCCAGCTGACCTGGGGAATCTCTGCGGCTCCATGTTAATCCCATCATTTGTCTGCTTTGTTTCTTGGTCTTCATGATGGTGTTTGTTCGTCAAAAAACGTCTGAGAATCTAGAAAGAGCAGCTGTGTTTACATTGATAATAAGTTACACGCTTTTGATGCAGTTTGGTTGCACCGAAGTCCATTTAGGAATATCAGGTTAAATAGGGCAGAACAAATGGACGGCGTACTTTTCATACTTTTATTTAAATGCAGCAAGTTGGTGGTAATGTTTTTGCAAGGAACTGGATTATCTAAAAGTATTGTTTGTTTTTTTCTGCACATCCTGGTGATGCTTCATTGTATATAAGGTTGAACTCTGTATTCTTTAACATGGTACACTAACATTTTCTGTTATTATTAAATAGCACATAAAGGTTGCTATCATCAGTGGATCTGGTTTAAACGTATGGATTTACCTGCAGCAGGTCTGCAGAGTGTGTGTGTGAGAAAATGCTGTGATATGCAGTGAGCTGCTTGCGCACTTGTCCCCATGATCTTTGTCAGTGCTTCCATCTGGGGAAAGCACAGCGTGTTCTGTAAAGCTTTTGTCATCGTCAGCATTTATATTTTCAGCTGTTTGTCCTACAGTTTCTCCTACTGGGATTTTTCCCCACAAACAATCAATGGAGCCTTGAGGGCTTCCTATGCTATTTAGTTTCAAATTTGCCAAATGTTTCTAAATGCTTACTGGGGAAAATGTGCTTGTGACAAACACTGCACAAGCAACTTGGAAGATATATAATATATCTTCTTACTTGGATTTCAAAATCTCATACACCATGTATTTTTTTTTGTTTTGCCTCATGTGTTTGCTTCACTGTGATTTATTTGACTTTTTTCTATATGTGAAGGGAAACATGGGAAAAGAAGCCTGTCTACGTTCAGCGCAAGAATCCAGATTATTACAAGGGATTGTTTTCAACAGCTGAGTTTGACCGTATATTGAGGAAGGTAATGTTCTGAAACGATGCACAAATCTGTCGGCCTGTTATCCAATGATCACCTCTAACTGGTGATCAGTGAATCAAAAACTGAAATATCCGTTTTTCTCAGTTCATAAATTATGCAAAAACTTAGATCTACCACTCTTTTTTTTTAGCCTGCATCAACAAAAATTTGTGTTTTTTTTTTTTTTCTTAAAGGAAAATGTCCAGTATGGAGTGAACCTGGATATCACCAGCTACGTTAATGGCAAGAGGGAAACGCACAACCCACCAGGGAGAGCTCTGGCATTCACTGTGTGGGATTTTTATGAGGTAAGAATGGAACGGTTCAGGTTTTATGCTCGTTTAAGCAAGTATTCCTAATAACTTTTAGGTGTCATTTTGTAGCTGAAATTTGTCTAAGGAATGCATTAAGAAATGTTCATATTTTCCAAGATAACATCCATGAAGAAGTTAGAGATATAAATTTACATTTTATTGAAGTCAATGCACTAAATATGTGAAATGACTTGATATTTTTTCATCTAGAGTGGCTGCTCTGTTCGCCTCCTGAATCCTCAGGCTTTCTCCTCCACTGTGTGGAATGTGCTTTCTATCCTCCAGGAGAAATTTGATAGTATGGCAGGAGCCAATGTGTAAGTTCAAGGGGAAAAAAAAAAAAAAACTTGCTTGCTTCAAACTTATTTTTTGTTTGTTTCAGTTTTAAACGCATTTTTCCTTTGACCAGATATCTGACACCTCCGGGAACTCAAGGTTTTGCTCCACATTATGACGACATTGAAGCTTTCGTGATTCAGCTGGAAGGGAAGAAACACTGGCGAGTGTACAATCCGAGGTAAAATTCATTAAGGTTTAAACTCATCAAAAAGCATCAATTTCATCTGTTCTCCTATAACAATACAGAAATATTTTTCAAATTTTGTTTTAGAATTTAATGGTGTCTGTTTTTTTTTCTTTAAAAAGAAAATTGCTCCCCTGTCCTTGCTGAAGAAAATGATCCCCACTGCATGATGCTGCCACCAGCATGTTTTATGGTGGAGAAAATTTACATTTTACTCTGATCTGATCCAAGCATCTTCTTCTACATATTTGCATTAATAGATGGGGTTAAATATAAAGGCATGCCACACTTTTAAGATTTTTTTCAACTTCATAATTGTGCGCTTTTTTTTGACACAAGAAATTCTTGAATAATATGCATTTTTTTGAAATATCTTGATCAGTTTTTATTACACGTATATAAAGTGGAAGTAATTTGAGGCAAGAGCAGCCTACATTTTGGGTTGTTGACTAAATTTCTGGTAGATATGTATCAATTATATAAATAATATTTTGGGGTAATTACAGTGGGAGAAATAACCTTTATTTTTATTTTATTTTATTTACATCTTTAGGTCTGAAGGTGAAGTCTTGCCTGTGCTTTCTAGCCGTAAGTACCAAAAAGGTCTTGATTCTTTCAGTGACATAATTTACCTAATCTGAAATGAAAACAGGGCATTTTAATCCTTTTCCAAAACCGGTTTTACAGAGAGAACAAGCTAATTTTATGACAATAGGAGAAGTGAATCAACTCTTTTGACATGCAGCACATTTGATATTGTGGCTGATGAGAATGCATCGGACATTTTGCGTTCTCCTTTCTAGCAAACTTTGACCAGGCAGAGATTGGGAAGCCCATCCTGGACGTGGTGCTGGAAGCTGGGGATCTCCTCTTCTTCCCTCGAGGATTCATCCATCAGGGCAACTGTTTGCCAGACGCACACTCTCTGCACATCACCATCTCCTCATACCAGAAAAACAGCTGGGGCGACCTGCTGCAGAAGGTAAATGCACTTTCGGTCCCGCAGTCGGACACAGCTGGCAGGAAGCCGCATTACTGCGTTGCAACATTCGAAATATACAACAAGTTGATGTAGACTCCTTACTGCGTTGTGTGTGATACATTTTGAAATAAGGAAATTAAAGTGGTTGAGCTGTTTTATTTGATTTAATATTTTGTGATTTCATGTTTAGGTCATCCCTGCTGCATTAGAAGTGGCGATGGAGGAAGATGTGGAGTTTAGACGGGGTTTACCTTTGAACTACCTGACCTACATGGGAGTGCAAAATTCAGATAAGGTCGTTATTGCTATATGAATTCATTCTGGACTTCCTTGGAAATTAAAGATTTATTTTTTTAAAACAAAAATTGCATGCGTGGTTGTGAAATTTGGGGAATTTTATCTAATCTGTAGACTCAAATATAAACATACACCCCCCACCATTTTTATTATCTTTTTCATTTTAAATGTATCTCAGCAAGCTGCACCTTGACTGCTCTTTTTGTACCAATCAGTGCAATTCTAGAATAACTCTCACTGTTCTGATTGGAAATTATAAATTATAAATTGGTTGGTGGATTTTAAAAAAGGTTTAGCTAATGTTAGTCTGTTTAATAATATATAAGCATTTCTTTAGCTCCACTCTAAATTCAGACTTGTGGACCAAAGTTTTGTTTTTGAAAATAATTGCAATTGTGTGCTATAATCATGCCACCTTGTAAAAAGAATGGTTCAAACAAGCTTAAAATGCCCGAATTAATGACGTTTATGCTCGTAATAAGCAACTTTTCACCGAAACCGCAACTCCTAGTGTGTGAAATTGTTCTTGTGCAGGAGGACCCACGGAGGGAAATATTCTTGTCTCGGGTTGAGAAGCTGATAAAGAAACTGCCGAATTTCGCCCCGGTGGACGCCGCCGTCGACCAGAAAGCCAAAGAATTCTTCCACGACTGCCTGCCTCCTGTGCTCACTCCAGGTTTGTGCTGTAACGTATGAGATTACGCATGAATGGACGGTTTTGAGGTTCCAATATTTGATCTCATCGCTCTCAGATGAACTGGCCACCAGCGTGCAAGGAGCGCCGGCCAGGTGGGAAGATGGCAAAGTTAAGAATGTCGGTGTTCACATCACGACCCAGACCAAGATCAAGCTGCTTCGTGGAGGGTGTGCCAGGTACAACAGCAAAACTTTATTTATTTTTTTTTATTTTTAGTTAGCAAAAATACACCTTACCGATTCTTCTTTTTGTGCCAGACTATGTGGCGATGGAGATGCCGTGCACCTTTGCTACACCGTAGATAACTCCAGAGTTTACCACAAAGAGGAGCCCAAGAGCTTTGAAATACAAGCAGAGGTATGTTCGTTTTGTGTGTCTTAATTCTTATGTTGTGCATTGTTTTGATTACATCTACCTTATTTTATTTCATTTTTTTTTTTTTACTTCTTTCAGCACACAGATGCTGTTGAGTTTCTGATCCATTCGTATCCCAACTTTGTGACAGTGGGAACTTTGCCTTGTGATTTTATTCAGGACAAGGTGGGATTCTATGCTATTTGCAGTAATATTTACTGTCAGTGACGATATGAGTTATGTATTAATTGCTGATGCTTCTCCCCCCCCCCCAGATTGCTTTGGCTGAACTTCTTTTTGAGAAGGGAATTATCCACACTTCCGAACCTCTTGAGGCCCCACCAGCTGTTGAGTCAGAATGACCACATTGTAAAATTTAATGTCTGTTTAAAATAAGAACTACACCATAAAACTCAGTCTAAAACAATCTTCTTTTGAATCTGTTATTTTCATGAATGTGCCTTTTCTTGATTTTTCTGATGCATAAAAAACATACTAGCAAATAAAAAGTTCTTGAGAACAGACATTTTTATTTATTTTAGTTGATACAACTCAAAATAAGGTGTACATCAGTCTCCTTCAACATTACAGCTTCAGGGCCACTCATCATTATTCATTCACACTTAAACCGATGGAACTTTACAAGCAGTGAAGCGTCTACTTCCAGGTCACCTCCTCACCAGGTTTCAACTCTCTGCAGGGGACAAAAGGTTCAACGGTCATAAGATTGTATCAAAACGTGTTATGATTGTCACTTCAAAGACAGTTTGCATTTTCAAAATTGACTTGAGCCACAAGTAATTACAGTTCTTACCTCTTGTACAGTGCACTCTTGTTTCTGAATGCTGTTAGCTTCTGGTCCTGTTGTTTGTCAAGGTACCATCCAATCACAAAGCCCATGGGAACCAATATGTGTGCCCAATTCACACTGGATAATGCGAATTTGACCATGGTTCCTACAACCAAAGCAGGGAAAAAGATGAGGGACTGATCTGAGATGTTGGTACATAAAAGTATATATTTTTTTGTATTATTTAAATGAACATTATTTTATCCAGATCAAAACACACACAAAAAATGGCATCCTAAGGCATTTTCATTCTTTTTAATCACAGGACTGTAACACAGTGAAACAATTTTAATTTAATTCAGCAAACATTTTATTCCAAATTTAGCTCAATAACAAAATGTCTAAGGAAGCCAGCAAATTGCATCAGAACTTGTCTTCTCTGCATCCTGAGTAAACAACAAGGCGACAGAGTGAAATATTTCACTTTTAAGAATGAGGCAATAATTACAGATAAGCAAAAACAATGTTACGTTTATAGCAGAGTTTTTGTTCTTTAGATGAGGCATACAATATTAACATTGAAATACAAAGGTTTACACAGGATGCTTCAATAGTGTCTTTAATTTTGCATTCTACATGTGTTATTGAAAAATAAAAATAAGTAAAAAGCCTTTGGTTTATTAATCCTACATTTTACTTCCATCATCCCTACAATACTTGTCTGTTATACACCTGTATAAATGCACAAATGCTTTTAATGTTAGCTGAATCTAAATTCTTCAACTCAAGATGCTGTAAATGTACAACACAAATCGTTTCAAATATTTTAAATGTGCAAGGAAAATTTCACGGCAGTGTTCTCCTTCTTTTTCTTCATTGACACGACCTGAGGTCAAAGGAAGATGCTTGCAGGCTATTCTACAAATGCTCCACGAAATGCATAAAAATCCGTAAAAAGATTTCAATTTCAGAGCGTTGATGAGGTTTGTTAGTCCTGAAAACAAACTAGAATTAATTTAGGTCTACTTTCGAACAGTACCAAGTAATTGAGGAGCCTCTAATGATTTTTAAGTAGCCTATTTAATCAACATTTATTTGAACACGGGTGAGGAAGTATGTTAAGTTTGTTTATGTGTTTTCACATTGACAAGCAAACTTAATTACAGATGTAGTTACATTAAAATCAACAACATCCATTTAAAATTATATAGCTGCATATCATTTTATTTGGTTATTTGGCTATCAACGAAATCCAGCAAAAATGACACGAAGCTATACTTGATACACATTCACTCGCTGCTAACTGGCATTAGCAACTAACGCCGTATGTTAGAAAGATTATTTTGTTTTTTTTGCATGAATATCTATTTCAACGAGATAAATATGTAAGACCAATTGAAGGCAAACAATAAGAAAGAAAATAAATGAATAGCTTTAAAATAATACCTTATGTTAACACCAAACAGCAGCCTTCAGATCTTCCTTCTCTATGCGAAGGACATTGGATTGTACCAAGTATGTTTCAACGACGTGTTTATGCTAAATGACAACACGGTTACAAGGATTGTGTTCGAAAATTAATTTACAATAAGATACAAGTTAATCCTATGTTTTATATAGAATTCATTCAATATAGTCCGACAACGTCATATTTACTGTTTTCACACAGATTTATTATGACTTTATTTGGTACGTTCCTTTACCCTTTCACCTATGACGTAGCAGCCAAAATGGCCGCTTCAAACCCGCTAACAGAAAAGTCTTGATTTTGAAGTAATAATAAATAATAACTTTAAGGTTATTTTCTTATATTCAAAAGAAGGATATATTTATTTAATGTTATAGTCTGTCGCTTTTTTGACGTTTTCAGCTTTCTTTTAGTTATCTACCTAGCATGTAGCTAGCATGCTAAATAGCCGTTGCCCGGTAAACGGCTAACAATCGTTGTCAAAGCCAAACTGGATTCATATTTTATCTTGCTAGAAACATTTACGTTTATTGTCATGCAGCTCACGTTGTATTCCATTTTGTGGAATTTTGCTTTTAAAAAAAACACTTTGGTTTGCCTTTGAATGATTCTTTATAGTTGGCCTTTGTTATAGAGACTCAACATTGGTTGATGAAGACGGGTTTGTGCTTTTGTTGAGAAAAGTAAAGGGAAAATGACTTCCATTATCAAGCTGACAGCCGTGTCGGGGGTCCAGGAGGAGTCGGCTCTTTGCTACCTGCTGCAGGTGGATGAATTTCGCTTCCTCCTGGACTGTGGATGGGACGAGAACTTCTCAATGGACATTATTGATGCCATGAAGCGGTGAGTATGATTACAGATGTCAAAGTTTTATTTATGTATTGCATTTCGGCTTTAACAGAACACAGAAAGTTGTTGCACCCTTTTATTTTCACTGGGTTAGATCATTGTTCTCGTACATGTTCTGGATGATATAAAAACTAAATCCGTAAATCTGTTTTTTTAATATATATATATAAATTGTTCGTCTGGGCCACAAAAAAATGTTTTAGATACTCACTGAGTTTCCAACCATCGTGCTTTTCAAATATATTGACTGTGCATCAAGTGATAAAATGGTTTTCTACATTGCTGAAATATGTTTTTTATAAATGTAATCGAATCAGATTAAATCAAGTGGCATTTCAACTTGACTGCTAAGTTATGAAAAACTCAGAATAACTTTCAGGAGCTAAATCTAAATTGTTTAAAGAAGCTTCTAACTTTTTTCATCTCTGTATTACATTTTTGCTGTCAGATATGTTCACCAGGTTGACGCAGTCCTGCTGTCGCACCCTGACCCCATTCACCTGGGAGCCCTGCCCTACGCTGTGGGCAAACTGGGTCTGAACTGCACCATCTACGCCACCATTCCTGTCTACAAAATGGGTCAGATGTTCATGTACGATCTATATCAGGTACAGTACTGCAAGTTAAGGTTTAAGGTAAATAAATGTTGTATTTGCAAGAATAGAACTGATTCCCTGAATGCTCTTTTCTTGTTCTTAGTCAAGAAACAACAGTGAAGATTTCACGCTCTTCACCCTGGATGACGTGGACAGTGCTTTTGATAAAATCCAGCAGCTGAAATACTCACAGATTGTCAATCTGAAAGGTGAGACGAAAATCAAGCGTCACCCCATTTTCTATAACCTTTCATAAGAAGATGATTTTATGAAAGTTATTTTCTTTTCGTTACAGGAAAGGGGCATGGTCTGTCGATCACTCCTCTCCCAGCCGGACACATGATCGGAGGCACCATTTGGAAAATTGTCAAGGACGGGGAGGAGGAAATAGTTTATGCAGTGGACTTCAATCATAAGAGAGAAATGTAAACAGACACAAAAACATACATGTGAAAGCAAGATCTTAAGCCGTACATCAGTTGCTAATTTGCGTGCTCTTCTTCTCTGTCTGTTCCAGCCACCTTAACGGCTGCACACTGGAGAGCATTAGTCGACCGTCTTTGCTCATTACAGATTCCTTCAATGCTGCTTATGTGCAGCCACGCCGCAAACAAAGAGACGAGCAGCTGCTTAGTGAGTAATACGCACAGAAGTCTTTACAGTAAAAAGCACCTTCGGTTCAGTAAGCATGAGACTATATAGAATACTCTGTCTGCGTCTTTACTAATGGCTGTATCATCATCCTCCTTTAATACCCACAAAGCGAACGTAATGGAGACCCTGCGTGGTAATGGTAATGTCCTTATTGCCGTGGATACGGCCGGCCGCGTGCTGGAGCTGGCGCAGCTCCTCGACCAGATTTGGAGGACGAAGGACGCTGGGCTCGGCGTTTACCCACTAGCGCTGCTCAACAACGTCAGCTACAACGTGGTGGAGTTCTCCAAGTCCCAGGTACCAATCAGTGTCACACTTTCATACAACTTAATTTTGGTTTTAATGGACTCCAAAAGACATTAAGTATTTCAGTTGTAGCACAGATATGAGCATGAATGTTGTGATCAGTTTTCGTCATTAGAGCTACAACAAGTAGTTTATAACAAATAATGATTCAAGAAACCAAACAAAACATGGTTGCAAAATGAGAGCTGAAGCAAAATAGCTAAACAGCTAAAAGTAAAATATCTCCAATAAAACGATGCACACAGATATTAGATAAAGCTATTCAGTTAAAAACATTTTAAAACTCAAATCAAAAGCCATATGCTTATTTAAAAATTGCAGAATAATAAATTGTGCATTTTAAGATCTCAGAAAAATTCTAAGTTGAAAAAAAATGTGTCTTCAGTTTGCTTTTAAGAACCTTCTGTCTTCCTCTGTACGTTATGTAAAGATGTTCCAGTATATAACTTATATATAAGTTATATACTTATGTAAGTATATAACTTTACTTATATAAGTAAAGTTATATGCTTTACTTATAACTACTGGAATATTTAATAAACGGCTACAAAGAGACCTGAGTATTTCTGGAAGCTGAGTCTAGTATTCTTCATAGTGTAAGTGAGATCTTCTAAGACCATTAAGAGCGTTACAAACAAGAAAAATGGCTTCAAATTAATTGCTGAGTTTAACAGGTAACCATAGCACAGTCTGGCAACTGAACTTTTAAGTATTGCAACTTTGTAATTGTTTTTTTGCAGACAAAGGAGCAGAGCAGGGATCCAATCTGCGAGTAACAAAAGCATGGATTAATGACTCTGTTGTCTGTATTGGCTTGAGAGAAAATTGGCCTTCCTCTGAAAATGTTTTCCTAATAATAAAATCCAATTCTGGTTAACGATTGAGTGCATCTTGAAACTGAGGTTTGAATTAAAAATGTCTTCTTGTTTTCTGGAGTGTTTTAGGGTCTTTCCATCATCTTTGTTGTAAGATTTTTTCCAAGTTTTTCCACACTTGGAAAAGAATTGTGTTGTTTTCATTCCATTACTATTCATTATGTTGTCTTTCCACCTGTTTTTTTTTTTCTTCTTTTTTTTTCTTGTAAAAACCAAACCCGTCTCTGTAGGTGGAATGGATGAGTGACAAACTCATGAGGTGTTTTGAGGACAAAAGGAACAATCCGTTCCAGTTCCGACACTTGAACCTTTGCCACAGTCTGGCAGACCTGGCCCGGGTACCCAGTCCCAAGGTGGTGCTTTGCAGCCAACCGGACCTTGAGTCTGGCTTCTCCAGGGAGCTCTTCACCCAGTGGTGCCAAAATGCTAAAAATTCCATCATCCTTACCTACCGCACCACGCCTGGCACCCTGGCCCGCTATCTCATCGACAATCCTGGAGAAAAGATGCTGGATTTGGAGGTGAGAGGGGTTTTTCGTGCAGAATCTTCCCTGAAAAATGCTGCCATTTGTGGCTATGTTCCAGCATCCCAGAATCATGATTAACTTCTTCTATGCACATCAGGTCAGGAAACGAGTAAAACTGGAAGGGAAGGAGCTGGACGAGTATCTTGAAAAGGAGAAAATAAAGAAGGAAGCAGTTAAAAAAATGGAACAAGCCAAAGAGTAAGTTTGGATGATCTCTGAATCTTTAAAGTATGGTAACAGGTTGTTTTTTTGTTTTTTTTTTCTTTTAACATGGAATGTAATAAGTAAAATATTTGTGAAAGTTGTTAATTATTGTGTTGAAAGAGGGACTAGTGAAGTCCACAATGTATACCTTTTGATCTAGTAAAAGTACTAGAAACTCAAAAATTTACCCCTGATTACAAATGAAAAAATGTCGTATGACGTACAAGCTGTAAGAAAGAACTTTAGATGGAATTAAAGTGTTTTTTATGGCTTTTTTCAGGGTGGATGTGGATTCGAGCGATGAGAGCGACATGGAAGACGATCTGGATCAGCCGGCTGCGGTGAAAACCAAGCATCATGACCTGATGATGAAGGGCGAGGGGAGCCGCAAAGGAAGCTTCTTCAAACAGGCCAAAAAGTCATACCCCATGTTCCCGGTGCATGAGGAGAGAATCAAATGGGACGAGTATGGAGAAATCATCAGGTGCTGAAATCTTAATGCAAATCGAAGGAAGTAGAGATTTTTTATTTTTTTTATAACCAAGTAACCCATTGTGTTTTTTTCTTAAAGGATTGAAGACTTTTTGGTTCCTGAACTGCAAGCCACAGAAGAGGAGAAGAACAAACTGGAATCTGGGCTGACAAATGGCGACGAACCCATGGACCAGGATTTGTCTGTCGTTCCTACAAAATGTGTCTCAAGTGTTGAGAATTTTGAAATAAGGTGAGTGATTACTCGCAAAGTGAACCACACCAGTATAATCTCCATATCTATAAAACTCTTACAATGACCCTGTGTTTCTTCTTCTATGTTATAGAGCGAGGGTGACGTACATAGACTACGAAGGTCGCTCCGATGGCGACTCCATAAAGAAGATCATAAATCAGATGAAGCCCAGACAGCTTGTGATTGTTCACGGGCCACCAGAAGCAAGTCTGGACCTGGCCGAGTCCTGCAAGGCTTTCAGCAAAGACATCAAAGTTTACACACCCAAACTGCAGGAGACTGTGGACGCCACCAGCGAGACGCACATCTACCAGGTCAGTCTCAGGAAAATCTGCTTTTAAAGATGTCCACCTTTACTGTGGTTTGTTGATTAGGTTTGATAGTCTTATCAGGTCAAATCCACATAATGTTTGAGATTAGACTGTGACAAAAAGTAGAGGAGTTGAACTATGAGTTGTGTGTTTCTTCTGCTGTGAAACAAATTCACTTAAGTTGCATTTGTTGAGTCATTAACGTAATTTCTTTTGTGTAACCTTCCCAATCGCCGCAGTGTGTTTCCAAGTCTTAAATTCATGTATCTAACATTAAGGCCTCCCTCAAAACGTCTTAACTTCATTGTAAAATATGTAAGTTTACCTTAAATACAGTAATCTCGGGTCTTTTTGATGTGGCAGGACTATTTAATCTTGTATATTTTATGTTGTTCATTTTTCTCGTGAGACTTTTCTGTCAGATCAAAAGCTTGATTGCTTATATTCTGTGACTCCAGGTGGTTGAGGCTACCGCTAACTAGATGCTAATAGACCCTTACCAGCTAGCTGGATAGCTTTTTTGTAAACTATTGTCAATTGGCTGGATGATGTGTGGCTCATTTCTGTTTCCAACCTGTGTGATGCTACACGCATTCTGTGCAAAGAATCTTGTGATTATTACTATATAAAGTGTGAAATGTTCCTCTTGTACATTTCTGTCATGACACAAGTCTTACATTTTATTCATAATGGTCTTAAAAGTCCTAAATTTGAGTTGGTGAAAGCTGCAGAAACCCTGTCATCCTCTCCCTTCATCTTAACTTAAAGGTGCGGCTGAAAGACTCCCTGGTGAGCTCTCTGCAGTTCTGCAAGGCCAAAGACACGGAGCTGGCCTGGATCGACGGCGTGCTGGACATGCGCGTGGCCAAGGTGGACACCGGCGTGATGCTGGAGGAGGGCGTGAAAGAGGAGGCGGAGGACGGCGAGGTTCCCATGGACACCGCCCCCGAGCTTGGCATCGACCATAACGCCACGGCCGTGGCGGCGCAGCGCGCCATGAAGAACCTGTTTGGAGAGGACGAGAAGGAGATGTCGGAGGAGAGCGACGTCATTCCCACTCTAGAGCCGCTGCCTCCCACTGAGGTGGGCAGCTGTGGTTTTTCTTTTAGGAAAGCTTCTAGTACACAGCACTGAGTACTTTCTGTAAATTCAACGTTAACATTTGCATTTATTAATCCTAAATATTTCTTTCCGACCAAAAAAAAAAAAAAAATGGTCAGTTGACTTGCCGAGATTTTTGAGAAGATATTTCCTTGTGATTTTAATTGTACATGTTCAAAATGGTCTATTAAGAGTTCAGTTTAACTGAGTCAGCTATTTCCTCCTCTCCTCAGATTTCAGGCCATCAGTCTGTGTTCATCAACGAGCCTCGGCTGTCTGACTTCAAGCAGGTCTTGCTGAGAGAGGGCATCCAGGCTGAATTTGTGGGTGGAGTTCTGGTGTGCAACAACGTGGTGGCCGTCCGCAGGGTGAGCGTCCAAACCGCTCTGTCCATATCCTCTTTCTGAGCATGCGGGCGGTCAGTCAGAGTACAGAAGACATTCAGCAGCACAGACTGTTCAGCTGTTGTCATTTGACGCAGCCTGTCGAGCTTTTCCTTTCGATCATCACTGTTCATTTCATGAAGCTTTGAGTTTGAGCACAACAGGCTACTGTTACGGAAAGTAGCCTGAGTTATTGGTGAAGAAGAAGAAGTTGACATGAGAAATAATGAGTTATCTTAAGAGACAGAGGAGCAAACAGAGATTACCTAAGTAGAATATAAAATCCCCAGTGGCACATGAAAATATCTCACCTTAGGTGAAAGACAAAAAAAATCAATCAGGATTTAACCAGAGTACAAGCTGAAGCCAGGATGCTAACAACAAACTGCATAATTGACAAGAACCTAAAATAGACGCAACACAGAAAATGAAATCAAAGAGCGCTGTGACTAGTAACAAAGATTGTTCGGATGCTATTTAAATGGGAAATCTTGATCTGAATTCATGAGACACTTTAAAAAAAACAAAAAAACAAACGTCTGCACAAAAGAATAGGGAACAAACCGTAAAGATGTTTTTCTCTGCAGCGATCTGCTGCACAAGGTTTGTTTATCTCTGCTGAGAGATGCAACCTCGTTGCTTTAGGGCTGAGGTGACCTGTGAATCTTTCTGTTCTTTTTGCTCAGACGGAGCCTGGACGCATCGGCCTAGAAGGCTGCCTGTGTGACGACTACTATAAGATCCGGGAGCTGCTTTATCAGCAGTACGCTGTTGTGTAGCAGCAGCAGCAGAAGAAGAAGAAGAAGAAGAAGACCCCCATAGATGCAGAAAACGGCATGTTTGTACACAGACTTTAGAAGGACTTTAATACAGTCTATGCCCTGCGGATTGTTCCATCCTCACTGCAGAACCTCTTGTATATTTCCCCTTTTATACATTAGTTCCAGACGTTTTTTTTATTGTTTACATTTATAAAGTGAAAGGCAGATTGTGTACCTTTGTGGACTTCTTCATATGAACACCTGTGAAATTGTCACATTTCTATGAATCCACCCCCTGGGAAGCTATTTTCCACTTACTGTCAGTAAATTGTTTGTCCTGCAAACGGATCATTGCGTGTTTGTCTCTATTATACGTGTTCAGCCAATTTTATTGTGGTAATTTGAACAATATTGTCACTAATATACACTTTGAACAGTACTGTCCCTCTTTATATTGTAAAGATGGTAAAGTCATTATTGCAGCCGCTTAAGGTCGCGCTGAAATTTTGTGATAAAAGAAAAAAACCTTTATGCATTTTATGCAGATAAAAAAAATCAAGAAAAAATATGTTTTATAAAGTAAAACATTGCAGCAAATATTGATACTCTCAATGAGCCTATAAACAGTAAATGTAACGCTTTTTTTTTAGTTTAATTTACTTGTTTAAGTTTATGAGTATCTAGGTAGATATCGTTACTAGTATTTCATAACCTATTTTGCAGAAGTATAGACATAATAATAATTGGATGGATTCCTTTTAGAAAATAGCTAAAAAAAAATGTTAAGGGCGTAGAAAGAAATCTCTTGGTGTCAACAAGTTCACCCAATCATTAGGTGATGTCTGCATACCATTCAGATGCTTGGGAGTCAGTAAAAAGTATTTTCTGTCCCACCATCATAAATGTAAACATGTGAAGTTTGCAGAACTTTAACTAAATCCCTCCAATCCGATAAAAGTTTGGTTTCTAAGAAACAAACACTTCAAGTGGGTCTATGGTGAAACAAAGGGTCAATATGTAAAAAGTAACAAGTACGGTGGAGGTGCCGTTACACTGTGGGTCTGTTTTTTATTTTTTCAAAGTCCTGGTGATCTTGTTAGACTGTGTGGTAACAGGAACTCCTTTTAGTATCCCACAAAACTTAAAACATTAGTATACCCTGGAAAATGGACATTTGGTTGCATTTGATCTTTCCACAGGATAATATAAAAAAATAAATAAAGCCAAATTAACAGAAAAAAGAGTTCACCAGACATTAGATCAAGCTTCATTCATAGCCATTTCAGCCCACAGATGTACAAAAGAAGAAGAAGAAAAAAAACTGGAGCAATCTGAAGAAAGAGCATATGAGAGGATTCAGGACTCTGGGGAGATTATGCAGAGGAAAGAGCAAAGATCTCTCTGTCTGCTCAAACCTTGTGAAGTTAGATGAAGTCCAAATGCCGCTCCTGGTTGAAGGTGATTGCTTAAGCTTAAGAGACAGCTGTACAAATAGCTTTATTAAAGGTTTTGTACTGGTGTGGTTGAGATCTTTCCACAGCAGAACTTTTCTTGCACATTTTGTTGAAAGTCTCTTCTTCTGAAGCCCTCTCTTGTCGAGCCCCTCTACGCTCTGTTCTTGTGTCCTTACTATTCTCACTCCGTATGATTATTCTGGGCAGTGTTTTAAGAACTACACAATAAGAAAATGTTTAAATTCGCTTTCTCGTGAGCCTTTTTTTTTTTTTTTGTCATGTTGAAATCAAATCCTTGACAAAAGAGCAATATAATCATCTTTGAACCTAATTAGTGCTCACAAAAGCACTCAATCCAAAGCAATTGAGTAAGATTTTATAATTGAACCCTATTATTTAAGCTAATCATTTTAATTCACCTTAGCATAGTTGCTGAGCATCAGGATTCAAACCGACGGGCACACTTTGGCAGGCCCCTTTTAAAATATGTCCTTTCATTTTTCTACTTAGCTTGTATTATTAATGTGTACGAGCTTTTTCTTTGGGGACTTTATGCACAGGATGTTTACTGTTGTTTTAAAAATGTGCAATAAACAGAAACTTGATCTGATTCGATTCGAGCTTCACGTTCTAACCAGGTGAACTAGTTACTGCAGCAACAGCAGATGGAGACATTTTTCAACGACATCTAACCAGCCTCTGAATACCCCTATCAAATGCAGCCAGGCCATCTGTAGCTACAGTGATGGGATGGCATTGTCACTAAAGTCATAACCGGGATTGGATTTAATTGAGCCTGCTTTTGAGAGCCGAGATTAACATTTAATTCATAAAATGTTTCAGCAAAGCAAAAAAAAAAAAAAATAAATAAATAATAACTTGAATTCCCCTGACTGTTTGTGTCTTAAATCTTCTAGAATGCGTCTCGTCTGAGCCGCTGTGAGGTGTAACAGATTAGAAAGTTGGTTTGCTGAGGATGGAGGTTGGCTGGCATGATGTGTCTGCAGCAGCAGCAGCGGCGGCGGTGGTGGTACAGTGACTCGGCTGATTACCTTTGCAGCCTACTGTGAATCCCTGGAGTGGATCCTTACCACGGGCAGCTGTGGAATACCTCTTTCATGGATACACCAAAAACAAACCTCTTTCCTTCCCCCTCACCTCAGCCTCTCACATCATCATCATCACACACACGCTTGGAACAGGATATGATAGCATATGAAGTAATCACAGGGATGGGGAGGGAGGGAGGGCCAGGGGCAGGATACACATACCCACACACACTTGAGTAGTGAAAGGAATTGTATGGGAGTGTGTATGTGTGTGGTTGAATGAGTTAGGCTCAAGCACGGCTGACTGGATGACGTGCAGCCCTGGTTTTATACAGTTGCATAACGCACAGTTTTTGCACTTTAGAAACATTAAAATTTAAATGCTCTTTTTTTTAATCCCCGGCTCGCTCAGAGACGTACAACAAAAACTTCCGTGTTCAGGAGCGCGCCCATGATGCTATTGTTTATTTGCCCCAACCCCTCCCCTGAACCCAAGTAACCTGTGACAGACTGGAGCAGAGAGAGAGAGAGAGAGAGAGAGAGAGAGAGAGAGAGCAGATGAGGAGGAGCTCTTTGTGCCACAGAGCATGCCAGTCTCTGCCCAGTCACCGCTTTTCATTTTGATAATTGACCGCCAACGCCAGAAATGTCCATCAGCTAATCCTCTTAGCTTTTATAATGCTGACTCCGTCACAGAAGCCCCTGTTTTAATGTAACAAGCAGCTAAGCCCGCGGCACAGGGCAGAAACGCCTTGGGGGACACAGAGGCTGCTCTGCCCCCTGGAGGCCACCGAGAGACCCGCTTTCAGCTCCACAAGTGCGCTGTCAATCTGTCGGACTGAGTCAAATCATGATTCCGTAACCTGGCTCCAGGGTGAACTCACCACTGTGCCTTTCACACTGTACAAGTTGGCACAAAGCTGCACTCAAACAGAAAGCATCTAGTTCCTCAAATGTCCATTCACCTGTGCATGTTGTTGGAGAATGAACGAGTTAATGAATGAAATCAATCCCGTTATGAGTTGCACGTCTCTCTTCTCTAAGCAGACCACTTCATACCGGTGACATCAGTGTGGAAATGTGCATAGGGGACAAACTCCCAAAAAACCGCACAGCTTTCAAAAAAGACAATGAAGCTGTCACTTTGCCCAAATGGACATAATGAAGATTTTTATTATTATTATTATTATTATTATTATTTATTTATTTATTTTTTATTTTTTAAGACAATAAGCATGAGTCAGAAATTAACAGCAGCCCTTTGACGCTGTGAGAATTGAAAAACGTACTTACAATGGACTTAACCCCCCCAGCTTAGTTTATTTAAAAAAAAAAAATCAGAAGTGTGTCTTTGAGAAGGATGCTAATAGAAATACTTTCTCAGAAAGATTTTCAGACAAGAAATCTGAAATAAGCCATTTTGGTTGTGATTCTCTTAAGCAAGTTGCTTTTCACACTTAGACACACAGCAGGAATACTCATGAGAACAAATACACAAAGGCACTTGCTTCCCAGATTATCTACAGCCCACAAAATGGCAGTTGCCATGTTGCCTTTTGATAAAACAATAGTCTTTGTTGGATGCATTCATGGGTAGGACTGATCCTGTCTGAGTCCCTTGCTGAGACATGTGCTTGTCTCAATGATTATGCGTATGTGGCTAGATATTTAGGACAGATCACATGAGACTGTTTTGCCCAACTAAGGTACAAGCAGCACATTCTCTTCCTCTCAGAGCAAAACGAACCAGTCGGTCGTCCGTAACTTGAGGTGATGCAAGCCATAGGATCAGGAAACGCGTTTTTTTTTTTTTTTTTTGGACGAGGGCAGTATCGGCCTCTTAGCGAGCTGCACACAGCCTGACGAGTGGTCAGAGCCAGTCAGCAGAATGCAACCTGGTCAGCCTGCTCTTTCCACTCAGCACATCAGAGCGGCCCGGCTTGATCTGATGTGACACACATGACACCACCTTGAGAGCTGCGAGGAGACCCTGCCGATGATTAGTTCCAGCTCAGACACCACAATGAAGATCAGCTTCCCCGTGTTTACCCTCGGAGACGCCTCTGCCAAATTCAGGACTCCGGCCTACACTACAGGCTGAGTAAAGCCTGTGAATCATTTGCACCGAGAGACGTGGATACGAAAACAAGCAGTGTCCAGAGTGAGGAGCGTGAATCCAGAGAAGTGACTCAGCTCTGTAACAGTTTATCAGTTTAGATCCAATGCAATGGTGATGAACAGACCCCGAATAGGTAAAGCTAAAACTTCCCTGGTTTCTTTAAATTGTAAAAGGGAAGTTCGGCCATATTTTATCTTGGATGTTTCAATTAGCTTATCCCAACATTTCCACAGTTCTGTTGTCCAAATATGCCAAAAAATATTTATTCCTTTTCTATTTTCTCTGTGGTGAACTTCGGTCTGGCCTTGAATGTTTTTCTTAGTGATCAAAGGTTTCCTCCTTGCACAACTTTCTCTGCAGTCTTTGTGACGTTACAGATATTCAATTTCAAATCTGTCAGTTATGCATGCTGCAAACCTGACATATGAAAGAGTGGGAAGAATAGATGATTACTGAAATTAAGTCATGTAATTGACACAGCAAATATGTTGAATGAGGTGTGTGAAGGAAAACTAACACATCTCTACAGTGAAACACAGTGGTGGGAGTGTCATGCTGTGGAGGCGCTTTCTTTAGCAGAGAAAGGACGAAGTTTAGATAACGCTACGTAGGGCAAAGTATTTTAGTCTTTTAGAGAGCAAAAACAACCTGATCCCCGCCTACTGGTTGTAAAATGATCAACAGTCAATTCCCCTTCTCGTCACAACATGGAGAACATTGTGAGCG